TGACATTAAATCAGATTACAGTCAGCCACCAGCATATATGAATGATGAAGTAATATTTTTGGCACATTCATCTCGCGTGCAGTAAGAGCGTTAAATAGCTTAGTGTTGATTTAATTCAATGCTCACCTCGGCGCAATCAATTATTTATTACAGATGTGGCATATGAATTAGTCTGAGTTGGTTCGCATGCAGCGATTTAATTTTGGTACGTGAGTGTGTCATAATTAAATAATCGTTGTTTTGATCGAAACAACGACGTCAATTGCGATTTTGTATGCAAGCATTGATGCACCCTCAGTACACATCTCGATGTTATCTATACATATGTGTGCGCTTGTTACGCAAACAGTCGGTCATTCGATCCTTTTTACCAATGTATTTTGTTACTCTCGACTCGCAGAGACTTAAATCGAAACGCAACGGTTCCGACAAATCACTAAATGAATTACCCCGAAATGAAGTGAACAGATACACACTCACATGCAGAGAGAGAGAGAGAGAGAGAGAGAGAGAGAGAGAGAGAGAGAGAGAATGAGAGCCGACAATGATATGCCCATTCTCTCCATCTATGCTACACCGATGCGTAGGAGGGCTAACTGAATGGCCGAATGGGATTCAGATTCAAGTCCATTTGTACACTATTTTGTTAAATTAACAACTGGCTAATCACACGAAAATCTTGCAATACATGCGAAACTCCTTTGCTAATGACCGGCCTCCGATAGACTGGTGCGAAAATCAGCTTTTTCAATGCCATCGATTGAATAATTGAAAATACATGATCCTGGAACCACGCATAGCTCGCATGCTGTGTGTTTGTATATTCTTTCCGAGTTTGGGCTGTATTTACGCAACATATGTGACTATTTCGGTGATATTAAAGTACGACATCGACCCAAATGTGCGGCTAAAATTAAAAGATACATACACAAAGAGGGATAACCAAACACGCTATCACCAAACAGGACGTGACTATTAATCCGGATATTATAAAACTAGGCCTTGAAAACAAAAGGGCAAAAATTTAATTAAGTTTTTTTTTTCTCGAACGAAATGAATCATCGAAAGCGTTACGCTTCATTTTTGGTTGCGTCATGAAAGTCGGCTGTTTCCGTTCTTATTACTCCGTTGTTTGTTGTTCATCCCCATTTGCTTACCACTTCATTCGTATAAATTATTATATTTGATTCTACTTAATGATTCATGCATTTTCCTCAATGGCACCATGACATTTTCCGGGCGGTTTTTTTATTCTTCGTTCACGGAAGAAATCGGTGGAAATTGTGTGTAAAATATGAACAAAGAATGAAAGTTTTTATTCATCGACGGTCGGATGTGAATGTGTGACTCAGTGCAAATGAAGTGGAAAATTCAATCGTCACATGTAAAAAAGAATGCGGTTATCGCTTTTCTCGTCCGTTAAATTTTCACGGGAAATTCATCGAATTTTTGCCGTTTGACAACATACTATACACACACACACACAAAAGACTGAATGTTTTGAATATTATACGTAATTTGTGCGAACTCATATACGTACATATATTCCCATTTTGGCACCACCATCCAAATTGGATGACATTCAAATGTCGATGGCAATTTTGCGGAACAAAACGTGAAAACGATGTGTTGATATTGAATCAACTAAAGCGCAAAATTAAATCATATATCGTTCGCACTTCATGGATGCAAATATCGTTCGCTCTTCATGGATGCCGTCTTTGGGCTGTCGAAACACATTTAAAGTTTTGGTATATCAATAAAAGATATTCCGATTGATTTCACATGTACGAATTTTGTGGTGATGATGGGTGGTGTATTGAATTTGGCTTGCCTTCGTCGCTTCTTGCATACGATACATTTTACCCATTACAAACATTGGGTTAAATGAAACGAAAATTCAAATTGATTGGTTTGTTTACAAACACATTTCAACATTTCGATGTGACACATTCGTTTGATCGATGCATATGTGTATATATCCACTAAAAACAGTCACTTCAGATGGCAATAAAATCCCAATTCAAACAGAAAACACATTTCTAATTAATCGATTGAAACACGAAAATATCTAGGTCTCAGAATCTCGATTGGCTGTGATTTTAAAATCACATTCATAACGGTGTGTTCTAACGGAAAATCAAATCGATTCAGTGAAATTTCATTGAATCAATCGATTGGAAATACAGTTGAATTGCCCAACTGATCCCATTCATTCATGAACAATGAACACGTGCATCATTTCATGGCGAACGCATTGAATTTACGGCCGTTTTTTTTTCATTTTGTTTTTATAAAACGTATAGTTTTTAGTGTTTATCATATTCATGGCAACGCCACACACTTAACGAGGAGCAAAACAATCAAATATACATGTGCGACCATACGAAAGTGGCTCACAATCCACTCACAGTGTCTTTTATGGTGTGATTATGAATATGAAGAGTAAACGACACGACATAACACACACTCCACCGAAGTAAAGAAAAAAACAACCGGGGGAAAACTAATTCATTCAATAATGCAATGCAGTAATTAAAATGGTAAATCCATTGCTATGACTCATGTTTATTTTGTAGTTTTTATATATATATGGATCAAAGAGGGATGGGGATTGTAATTTCCATGGGCCACGCTTTTTTCCGTTATATCATTCATTGCACGAATGCTTCGAATGTGAGTGGTTTCATTTATCCTGTTATTAAATTCACTCCATCTGGATGGATATCAACATTCAAACATCGCCATTTCAATTCAATGGAAAATCAATAAAAAAAAATTATTGCCGAGAAATAGAAAATGCGATTGAGTCAGTGAGTATTACGAAGAATGACGCAGATAAATATGGACAAATTCTGATAAAAACGCAGTGAATGCGAACAAAATGGGGAAAATGTGATTGCCATTAAGTGCGTTGTCACCGAATGTATCGAATGCATTGCTATGGCAATGACTTTTGTTCCATGTGAAAATCGTCCAGACGATTTTTCCTTCGTTCCATTTTTTTCTTTCGTCTTTTCGTTATCTCTTCGTCACTCGTTCTCTTTTAACTTATGCCATAAATATGAATACAATCGTAACGATTGCTTTAAATGTGATATGGTTGATGAGTCATCGTAATATCGAATGACTTTGGTGATGAAGTGACAAGAGAGAATTTGATCCATAAACGATTATCCGTTATTTGAATAAGTACGAAATATTCAAATTTCTGTGATATTTGAATTTTGAACAGCAAAAGCAGCAGCACACATCACCAATGGCAATGCTGTGTGACAGTGCCGAAGTCAAAGAGGAATACACAAAGGAATGGCAAGTAAATTGCATGAGCTGCCACTTATGCGTTCCATTTTGCTCAATTCTGTCGCTTTGTCTGGTGAATTATGGGTCGATACAACAAAGTCATAATGATTTCTTGAGCAAAATCCAAATGATACGTTGTGCAAATCAATTCCAGCTCTTAGCACATCAATCCATCAAGTCATAAATGGGAATACGATTCGATTCCATAAAAGCAAGTTTGAAATGTGCAAATCATCGTCATTTCTTTGCTTTTGACGAAAAATGCTTTACTCTCTACTTTGAGTCGGGGTGAGATGGGACATGCATGAAAATGGTCGCATTGTGTAGCGTCTAAGAGATCGTTTTCATCAGTTTATTGTACAAAATTTATACATATAACATAATGAAGCGTTGGAAATCCTTTTCTGTGGTCACATGATATGCCGCCCTATGATATTCATATGAACATGGTCGAATCCACAACAACGAAACAGCCATATATGCAGCGATAATAAATGAAGGAGAACCGCAATAATATGAATGAATGACTCATGTCACTTTCTATATGCGTTCGATGCACACAACACACTCGAATACCATTCAATGCATTCGACGAGCCGCAGCCACAGTCACAGTCAATACGCTCTATATGCCATCGATTCAAGCCGAATAGTCAGTCTCCTATACATTGTTTTCTCTGCTATAATGAAGTAGCACTACACACACACATTCACATTAGTTAATGCGACATGTGTGCGGAGCGGCAGGAGACGCGCAAAGCAAGAGAAGGAGTAATTTTTGAATATGAGCTGCATACAATAAGCATGCCGCATGAGTAATATTCTTCATGCGGTGAATTGATGTGTTGATATCGTATGTATGTGTGCCTGTGGCCCCTTCTTTATCTCTCTATCTCCATAAACGACTAGCCTCATATGTGTGTTTGCCGTACGACGACAAAAACATCGAAAAATAGAGAGACGTGCAAAGAGAAAGAAAAAACAAAAAACAAAAGCGAAAACAGAACAAAAGCGAACGAGCACAAATAGAAACGCGTTCGCGACAATCGCACTCGATGCACATAGATACATGTATATTTCATTTAAATTTGTGCACGAAAAATTACCAAAAGCGTCGCGCTCTATTCTCTTTAATGAATGCTGTGTATATGTGTACTTCCATATCCCCCGACACACAAAAATCAACCGAAACTCTCACTCGCTCCATGCAATGGCACACACGTCCTCTCTCTCTCTCTCTCTCTCTCTCTCTCTTACCCAAATGTATGTGCATGTTCAAAATTACGTAGTACATGGCGAGGTTTTCGTGCTCGTACTGTCATCACTATGGTTGTAACGTCGTCATTGCTGCCGCTGTTCCTAGTAATAGGACATGCAGAGAGCGAGTCAGAGCCGAGCGTTTGTTGTTGTTGCTGTTTTTTCGTGCCACAGAACCATGATGTCTCTTTCGCATTGATTCACTCGCCACCATTTCTCTCCCGCTCGCACTGTCTTTTTCCGAATGCGAACGTACTCCATAATGTTGCCGCTGTTATTATTATCGTTGCTGTTGCTGCTGCTGCTGCTGCCGTTGTCGATGTGTTGTTATTGTTGTTGTTGTCGTTGTTGTTGTCGGTGGTGTGTATGCTTGCGGTGTGTGCTCATACAGCATGGTTTACAAAGTATAGAGTCAACATCATCAGTACGATTCAAGTCATAAGCAGGACAGGCGCATTTTTTCGTTTTATTCATCATTCTCATTAGAACCGTTGCGGAAAAAACGACGAATATTCTCAAGAATAATACGGCATTCCATTTCGACACAAAAGTCTCTTTGCTTTCGTGGTAATACAGAATTTTGTGCAGCAGAAATAAAAACGCTAACACTTTTGCTTTTCAGTCGACGACTGAACCAACGTGGTTAAAAAAAAATTGTGCTAAAATAACGGAATAAATTCGTTTAAGCAAATTTTCTTGTGAATAAGAATCAAGTGAAAAGAAAAAGTTTTTCTTGTGAAGTTTAACATTTATTTTTTTTTATTTTTTTTCTGCTCATTCACGTTCCTTTGCTTCGCGTGAGCAAATCACAATTTGATTCCGGTTGTGTGAATACGCGACACAAACCGAAGAGGAAGCAAAAAAAAAGAATATATAAAAAAAGCGAAACCGAACTTTATCACCTGATTCTCTTATAACATTCCGATAACTCGGTGGAATTGAAACGTGTGTGTGGGTGTGTGGATGTGGAGAACAAGAGTGAGAGAAAGAGGGATAGAAATTGCAAGGAAGAAATCAAAGAAAATTTGCACTCAACACTCACAGCGCTATGGTTTTGTGGCAGTGTGACTTGCGCAAATCAAATCGTTAAAACATAAAATTCCATCTACTGTTACCGCAAAAACGTTAGGAAAACAACATCGAAATCGAATCAACGTGAGAGTAAGACAGAGAACCGAGAGCAGCAGCAGCAGAAGAAGAAATACAGAAAAGCACACACGCACACACACACACCTGAAGTCGCACACAACTGAATTCGGTTGAGGAAAGGATAAGGTGAAAGAGAAAATTTTGAATTATCAAGCATAAGAAAGCGCCACGCTATCATACACTTACCGGTGTGCCCCGTGCACATTTTATTGATGCGCTTATCTTTTCATAGTGGTTCTCTGTGTGTCTTTTTGATGGTGAAGCGTTTGAAAACACGCAAAACGAACAACGCACTGCTGCATTAAATCGCTCAAAATACCGTGCGAATATCAACAGAAATACATTTTTTAACGAATCGATTCCGACGAGAAATTAGTAGTGATTTTCGATTTGCGGTGGGTAAATTCAAAAATTCATGAACTGAACTCGTGTGAGCGGATGAACGTGCGAACGAGCCAAATCAACGATAGTTCAATTTTTTTTCCTTCGATGGAAATTATATTTTCAAAGTGAAAACAAACAGTTTTTATACATGGCTGAATATTGGTTTTATCGATAAATTCGAATAATTGAAACGTGAGTGTTTTCAGTTTTTTCAACGTGTTCTGTGAAAAGAAGATAATCGAAAAGTTCATGGATATTTTTTTCTTCGGTGAGTGTATAAACTAAAAGCAACAATTATAAACAGAAGAAAAACAGACGAATAGACGTTAATCTGTCATCAATTTAAAAGGTATGTGTTGAAAAAAAGTGTACAATCACAACAAAAACTATACATTTAACGTTGAAAATGAGCCATTTTATGGAGCTTCATATGCCTAGGCCTCTCAACGATGACAAACAACGCCAATAAATATTGAAACAGATGAAATAAATAGAGTAAATACAAGTCATTTTCCATTGTCTGATGATTTGTATGGGAATTTCGCAGATGTTTGATAACAAAAACCATACAATTTTTTGAAGAAGAAAAAGACACATCCTTCCTTAACTTGCTAGACTCAAGCAAAAAAATATTCACACAAACAACAAACTGTAAATCAGACTGTGATTGACCGAGCCCGAAAATAAGTGAAGAAAATGGTAACAATTATTCATTAGTCTATCGAATCACGCAATAAATCCAGCAATTGATCCGAAACATACTTGAAAAATTTCAAACTCAAAACGTTCGAGCATATGAATAATGAAATAGATGAAAAATAAAACAGATTCGTATTCGGGCGGTTTAAATATTGGACATACACACAGAGAGAACAGAGGGAAATAAATCCGTTCGATACACAATCGTTTTTTGTTGATGGTTATTTTCAATTGCATAAAGGCAACATAGGCCAACCAAAACAAACAAAGCGGCCGCATAAAAACAAAAATAAACAACATATGTTCGGTTCGGGCATTTTGGGTACAAGTTGAAAAACGCATCCATAAAGATTAGGTTTGGTGTTGCTGCATATATTCAATTAAATGCCATGCGTATTGTGCAACATCGATTCGACTAATTGTTTTCAAGTCTGGATGAGAGAGAGAGAGAGAGAAAGAGAGAGAGAGAGAGAGAGAGTAAGAAACAAGAGCACTTTATTTGACACAGAACAATCCATTGAAATGGAACGAGTTCGAGCGTGTGAGTGAGCAAGCGTTAAGTGAATGTGTGTATTTGGACTGGAGAGTGTGGCTTAAAAGTGGCCCAGAGAAAATTCTCTCTCATTCTCATATAATCAAACAATCGAAATAGACTCCAAGTGCTATTGAAAGTGCGGTACCATTTCGGTGTGATCGATTACGAAGCATCTCGTTTGGCCGAAGCACGTTTCGAGTGAGTGCTGAGATCAACGTCAATTGACTTATTTATTGGATTGATTTGTACTCCAGTACCGCTGCTCATAGAGGAGGAGAAGAAGAAGCAAACACGGACAAGTTCATTTGAATGAACAATTGGCCAACGGAAATAGAGCGCCAGTGGAATCAGGTAAGCACTTGGATTGGATTGCTTCTGTTTGTTCAGGTTTTTATTTTATCCGAATGTTTTTTCTCTGTTGTCAAATTACCGAGAAATCAACAAAAGATCCTCCGATAAAATAAAGCTTTTTACAGCTCCACCAGATGATTTAATCACTTTTTGTCCTTTTGTCCCACGATTATTTGCCATCAGATGCTCATTTATATCGCTTATTCAATCAACAGCATCGGTGTGAATATTTGTTGTTTTTTTTCGGAGAGGGAATCAGATCAAAGGAAAAAAAAGGTGAAAATTCCCTAGAACAAACAGAATTGGGAAAAACATTGCCTCGAGCTTGGCTTTTTTTCCTATTCGGTGCACGTTCCAATTAATGTTCTCAATGTGTATTTGTTTCTCGTCTCATTTATTTACACTGTAAATCGTTTCCATTCCCTTTTGCCCGATCGATGCTTCTGCAGCGCCAGCAGCACACTTTGTCCTGATGGATATTTGGTTATTTATAGCCATTGGCTTCAGATATTCGGGCGATAGCCGATGCGATTATTTGAGAAAAATCAATTCGGAATATTTAAGTAAATGTATGGGATTTTTATCGCAACTAGCGCACTAGTTGAGCGTAACGCTATTCAAATAATGCCGAAAAACTGCAAGTGTTCTGCATACATAAAAGTGTGACATACACACAGACACAAACACTGACACGGGCAAGTGTCAAACCGAACGGCACACAAACGACGAGCGAGCGCATGAATATGCAAAAAAGGCGGCGGCATCCAGCCACTGTTTGAAATTCATTTAAAATTTGTGTCGCATTCTACATATTTGTCGGAAAATATTTATTTATCACACATTCGCTCGTTTCTCTCTCTCTCTCTCTCTCTTTCTCTCTCTCTCTCCATTTCGATCTATCTCCGTTTCATTCGGAACATGTAATCAAAATGCAATGGCGTTGCCATTTATTTTGTTGGTGTTTGGTTGAGTGCAACTGTTTGTTTTTAGTCCAAACACACAGTCACACATACACATACTTGCTGCGCCTGATTGGAATCCATTTGAATGGATGTATAAAAGGTTCGGCGTCGCCAGAGAGCCGGAGCGACTCAAGCCCTTGGCCATTGAAAAATGGCATAATTGAATGATGCCATTTAATTGAGTTACTTCATAAATTCATCAAATGAAGTTGTTTCACTGCATGCTCTGTGAATGCCAAAAATGACTGTGATTGGCCTTGATTCAGACAGGAGTTCAACTTGTGTTTGTTCAGCGAGTGTGAATTTGACGAAAGAAAGAGATAGAGAGTAAAAAACACCACCAGCAAAAACAATCTGCAGTAACAAATAACTTGAATTCATTTCGAAGCGACTGGAAAATTCTAATTGGGCTCGATTATGAATAAATTCGAAAACGTGAAAAGAATGAATTGTGATTGCCGCGTTGAATATACGAGAGTAAAAAAAGACAATTGTGTCAAGCGCCAGCACATTTCGAACGCCTTTATTCGCTGTGCCCTTTTTCACGACGCTCATCTTGCTCTTTTCCAACGAAATTATTCAATAGACTCGATTATCTCTCATCCCTTTTCCGAATGTAATTTACTCGCGAAAAAAGAAAACAATTCAAGTATGCACCGCATACCATGCCAACGAACAATGCTCTCTCGCAAAGTGGATCTGCCATTCGGAACAAAAAAAGGGAATACCGGAGTTCAAAATGCTGTAAAAAATTATCTTGCCGAATAAATAATAAGCTGTTGTCAATGCGATGGAGAACGAGCGAGAAAAGAATTTCATTTTTAACAAAAGTGCTTTTTGTTTCGTCGATTTGAAGAGATGCCAAAAAGTGAGAGGCAAAAACATAAAATATGGATGAGTGGGAGCTCATCATCGCGCACTTGAAATTCGAGTAATCGCCTTTTGTGAATGCGGGAGAAACGTCTTTAGCTACGGATACACAATAAGACACGCTTCTAAACGAATCTCGCTTGAGATGAATGGAAAAAAGCGTGAGAGTATCGTTTTGCCTCGCGAATTCAAAATGAATCGATTCGATTCGCGATACGTAAATATTTTTTCCACGAAGTTTCGATTTGAAAATTAAATGGTATACAAATTCAATCGGCATCGGGCAGAGAGAGAGAGCAACAAATCTCAGTGATCTGCATAAATTACTATTCCATTCGCAAGAGGATAAAAAAAACAAGTCATAATACAAAAAAAAAAAAATGTTTGTGTTTAGAAAAAACGACCGTTGATCAAATGAATGAATTCTACTTTCCGTCTGTAAACAATAAACACAGACAGAGACAAATCACTCGGAATCATTGTGTTCCATTCATCGGCTGAAAAGGCACTTGAATGCAATTCACTTTAAAAATAATTCAACAAATTAGTTTGTCAACAGAATAATGGATCATTTCGTTTATTATCGACTTGAGTTCCGCCATCATGATTACGAGTCGAGTAATATGTTAATGTTCAGGGAAATTCATAAAGTAACGCATAAATATTGAAGAGAATGGCCAACCATTTTCGAAGTAACTTGACAAAATGACTCAATAAGCACTCTTCGTCAACTCTCTTTGTGCGGCTTGTTGCTTTTAGCTACACAGAACCCATTTCGACAGCATAGCATCAATCCTTTGTATCGTTTGTATGACTCGAAATTGCGAATATTCTTTCTCACGCTCCGAAACACATTCCAAAAAGGAGCATTTCAGAGCACACAAATTCATTTCGCGCAAAGCGAAAAAGGAAACGTTCAAAAGATAGTAAAGATACGTGGCGCATACACAAGTATGCGTCAAAGGCATCCATTCACAATTGAAATACCTAAACGTCTAGTTTACAAGTCTATTATAATATTTTGCGAACGGAAATATATCACATAAATTGAAATCGTCTCATTCAACGATTTAATATTTAATTTCAAGAGTTGTATTCATCAAAAAGTAATTTTATTCTTTTTACTGGTATTTTTCATGCATTGCACGAAAATGCATGCAAATAATAAAATGGATGCATTTGTCAAAAGGAATTGAATTCGCACGAAATGCCAGAAAGCTTCCAATTAGATGCGTTTTTCCCGCGAAAACTTCGAATGGCTGCGTTCGTTCCTTTGCTTAACTCCAACTTTTTAGTATATCAAATGCATGCGAAGCATGATTTCTCGGGAATCGGATGTTTTTTGCACGCAAACATGATGTGTTTGTGTGTATTGAAATTGAGTGCATGTTTTCGAGCGTCGTTCTGCATCGTTGCATCTGATTCCAATAAATATTGTTTATCAATATTTATTCCGATCTTAACACATATTCTTGTTTATGCCAACAGCAATGGCAACGCAGCAGCAGTAGCAGCGCTCACATAGACGCTAGAGAAATACGACGCTTCCATGCGTTCCAAGTGTGAGGGCGTCGAAAAGAACACAAGACTTTTACTTCGTCTGAAAAAATATACAACGAAATAAAACGATGCGATTATTTTATTGTTATGTTTCACTCGGGAAACATACACACGGAGAAAGTGAAAGAGAGAGAGAGAGAGAGAGAGAGAGAGAGAGAGAGAGGAAGAGAATGGTCGTGAGCGTATGGCATTGCTTGTTTGGTGTTTGTGTGTGTGGGCAAGTGCTACACATCTACGAAAATAATGCCAAATGAAGTATGTTGAGCAATTTTTCAAGTAAAACAGCGTGCGATTATACAGCATGATAGATGATAAGCGAAAAATGGAAACTTTTTTTTCAACTGTTGTTCGTTTCCACAAGAAAAAGAAACTTTTTATCTGCCAATGAAGCTGTTTCCATGAACCCCCTGACTAAATGCGTTGTTTCAAGGAAAGAAAAAGAAGGAGCAACAAATGGCATACGGAAAGAATGAAATGTTATTAAAAAGATTACTGCTTCGTTGTGCGATGCGTCAATTGCTCGTCAAACAAAGTACCGTCGTTAGAAACGGAAGTCGCAAGAGAAGTTTCGTGATTGCTATGCATTCTTCCATTTGACTTTATTAGATGGCTTGCTCTGCTGCTCATTCGCACTGTTTTTGTCTCTTCGGTTCATTCGCTCGTGCACTGGCGTGATGCGTAGGGTGTGCGTAAGTTGGACGAAAATATGTATTTATGTCAGGCAATCGCGAAGTCATAGGGTGAATGACATCAAGAGATTTTATACACTCTCTCTAGTTTTCGGATATAACGATGCATGAAGAGGATGAGATTGGATTGAAGAGACAAAAGCAACAGCCGCACCAAACTCCAAAGTTATGCAACAAATATTTATTTTTATTTTTTTTTCTCTTGCTTTCTATCTCTTCAAAGTTATTGTACTTTTGTGAAATGGGGCATAAAGGGAGCGCATTATTTATAGATATCAAGAATTTTTCCTTGCATTTGAACGCCTCTCCCCATCTCCCTCTTTCTCTCTCTTTATCACAATCGCTTCTGTCTTCGACGGTGGAAAGGGGAGGTACAACTCAGATTCTCCGATGGAACATCATCTATAACTTTTATTTTCTTTTATTGTCAATCATATTTCTCCCCAACAATTTGCCCATTCTGCCGTTGGCCTTTATTATTTTCGCCATAGGACCGCGATGTTTTTATTGTATGCAGCGCTTTTATTGCTGCTCATGAGAAATGATTTTTATTTGTGTTGAGCAAGAAAGAGAGAGAACACGACGCTCCACAAAGTCGTTAAATCGAAATCAACAGTTTGAACTTGATTCATCGCTTATGCATTTCTCTTCGTCCGTTTCACATGGAAATTGAACTGAAATAATGAAACAAAATCCACTGACTTTTTCCACACACAAAGTGATTCATTCAATCGATATACTAATGATTTGCACATGTTTAGCAAACAAATTTTAAATGTCAAACAAATCGTTTGAAATGATGTCGCTGATTTTTTCATTGTTCACTGAACAAATTTTATCGACTCAAATACCATGTAATCGCTTTTGACATGCACGCAACTCAACAATGAGTAATTCGTTTGGCTGAAACTAACTTATT